AAAATATTTTATAATAAAAATCTTTATATATAATACTTGCCTTTATCTTCAATAGTATTATAAGATAAATCAATAGTCTGCAACATTGTATTAGCATTAGAGATTAAAGCTAATGATAATTTATGTGCAAAATCCCTAAAAAAATATTTTTTAATTTATTATATTATAAAATTACTTTTATAATTTTTATATATTTTTTTTATTTTTACCATTTTATTCCAAGATTATCTAAATAAAGTTCTTGAATGGAAAGAGATCTGCGCATAACATGTAATAATCTTTCTAAAGGTTCATGACTTAATTTAAGATGAGATGCCCTTAATTTAGTAAACCAAGTATTATATTCCAAGGCAGAAATAATTGGCACCAAATCTTTTTGATCTAAATGATCAAAATCTCTTAAATTTAATTCTCTAGTATCATGAGAAAGATATATTGTATCAACGTCCTATAAATGAAATTCTCTTAAAAAAAATTCAATAATATAACATAATATAACATTTTATATACTTTAATAAGTTACCCAAGCTACTTCTTCTCTATATGGTACACCATGTAAATCACACATGCATGCATATTGCGTTGAAAACCCCCCACAAGGTCCTGTATGTCTTGTTGCTTCTGTACTTCTAGCTAATTCACTACCTCTTATGCTCTGCAATCTACTAGCTGGTATTATTTCTATTTTTCTTATAATATAACTATAATAAAAATCATATAATATTAATATCAATAATTTCAATAAAATACATAAAAAATATATAAAAAAAATAATATATATACTTTAATGGTACAGTGGGAAAGATATTTCGAATTGCAGTATGTAAGGCCTCAATCATTGCATCTACTTCTGCAGTATCTGCACCTGCTCCCGTGGTAGTAAAATTATAATATCTTTCCCCAACATTTAAAGATAATTGATTTGCTCTTTTGGATTCTATGGATGTTATTTCTAAATAGTGAAAATGGCAGTCAATCTGTAAATTAATAAATAATTATAAAATTTTATTTATAACAAAAAATTACTTATAAATTACTTATAAACTTACTCTTGTGGGCACTTTAGCCGTTAATAGAAATAAACGGCATGGTGAAAAGACCTTAATTCATAAAAATTTAATTTTTTTTATTAAATTATCACTTCAAATAATTTTAAAAATTCTATTTCATAATTCTATATCATAATGTTCTAATATTTTAAATATTACTTACCAGAACACGATTTTCTTGTTTATCTTGTTTTGTTTCCAGTTTTACAACATTTTTTAACAATATCTTGACATGCTTACCTAATAATGCTTTCACTGATTCTATAAAAAATAATTTATAAAAAATAAATTTATATGTATTTATAATTAATAAAATGTACGAAATTAATAAAAAGATTTTTAAAATTCAGTTGGGATCCAATTCCTATAATTATAAAATGGAATAAAAAACTAACAAAATTAAACATTATTAAATATTATTATTAAATAAAGATTGTTTAAAAGAAAAAATCATATTTTTTTAATATATGACAGCTCGACAATACGAACGTAAACATTCAATAAAAGACAAACCATTTAAATCTTTCGTAAGTTGCGATCTTGTTGACATTTTGCTAATTGATTTACTTTTCAAACATCAACTGATCCATTTAAGACATTATTTTTCCTTGTCACACAGTGACCGAAGTCTTGTAATTTTTTAAAAAAATGTTAAGATAAAGGGCGATGTCACGAAACTATAAAGCTGAATAGCCGCCATATTAGCACCTGCCCGTAATCTATTCTATTTCATTCCGATTCGTTCCATTCTTACAAGTGTATTTATGTGAATTATTTTTAAAAAAGATTTCTTTTTAGTTTTATCAATATATATTCTCAATTATAATAATTTATAATTACAATAATCATAATTTAACAATATAAAAAATATTGTTTTATCAATTCTATTGTTGATTGATACAATAATTTATAATCATATCATATCTTTAATGAATTATACTAATTATACATCTAAAGATATTTATGTCAATTTTTATATACATACATGTTTTACTTAATGTTTTACTACTTAAATTTTACAATTAACATAATATTTAAATTTGATTAGTAAAATATTTTTTTCATAGATATTTAATAATAAATAAGATTTATTACGTTCTTTTCTGAATTATATTTTATTTAAATTTAATTTTTTTTTTATTTAATTTTTATTTAAATTTTCTGAATTTTATTTTATTAGCATAATAATATTTAAATAAAAAATATTATGAAATAT